ACCCCGGTGTTCTCATCAGGACGGTGATGTCCCAGGATGATGTGTGGACAGCCGTGAAGGGGGAAACAGAAAATCTTTCCTTCAATCCCAAAGAGAAAGACCCATAAGGGCTCTAAGGGGACAGCCAGATGCCACCGCTGTATTACTGAATCTTTCTGAACCGCAGTGGGGCGCGGGAAGGAGAGTGATGGGCGAGTCCTCGCAGGAAGGGGGTGGAACACCCTCTCTCTTCTCTTCGGAGTTTTATCCCAGCACCTCTTTGTTCAGTACCACGTCCGTTGATTGGACTGGGACCCGACCAGGGTGATTCTCTGCCCTGCCCAGCTCAGCGCTTGTCTCCAAGTGTAGCAGCATCTTCACAAAAGGCTGCGTGTTTCTTTCGGATCACTTTCAAGTCCTACTGTTTTGTCTTGAAAGAATGGGGGCTTTTGCTCCGTAATGATCAGCACGGAAAGAAAAAAAGGGCAAAGGCTTTTGTTAACAAATATTCAGCTCCCAAAAGTTGAGTCACCATCACGGGGCTAAGCCGACATCACCACTTTTCAAAGCACTGCGTGGACACTGTGTCTCCCTGGCACATTCATCTTCCCCAGTCGGCCAGCTCCACCCCTGTGCTTGTGGACCGCATACTTAGGAAGAAAGCAAGGCCCTGCCGGTCAGCCCGGCCCCTTCCTCAAAGGGCCTGCACAACCTGCTACAGGACAGTGCCATCATTTTTGAAAATCAGCAACACTAGGACCAAGTCCCATTGATCTGATCAATAAATGCAGCTGCCCAAGACGAAATGCACATCTGTCTCTCCACAAACAGAAATGTAAGTAGAATGTGTCTGATTGACGGGAGGCTAAAGAGGAGTGTGTGGTTTTATGCCACCAGATTCTCTGTAAAACACACTGGTTGAACAGTAACCACTGCAACCCCGGGGAAGCCCACGATGTGGGTCTCAGAATGTATCCTCGTTACTCCGGGGTGTCACACAGGCTCCATGGAATGACTTTTCAGCTTAGTACAAAGTGGGAACAGCCACAGGGTAATAAATTCCTTTCTGTCCTAAAATAGCCGTCCACAGAGTAACCATTGCAAGAAGCAAGAGGTATTTTACCTCTCACTGGTGGCAAAGAGCCTCTTCTGATTGAAAAAAAAAAAAAAAGTATTTATTCCAGAATGAACAAATCCTGCTTGCTGCTCACCTCCATCCCACCCTCCTGAAGGCGGGAACTAAGTGCCTGTCAGAACTGCCAGCTTAACCCAGCAGGAAGCTTTGCCACCAGCCTCCCAGCCTGGCCAGGTCTCTTGGCTGAGGGAAGCTAGAGCCACCAATGCTAACATTTGAAAACCCAGAGGGAGGAGAGAGATCTGACTTCTGAAGAATGCTTTGCACCCGTCACCACTGGCCTTCCAGACGCTGTGCACTGTGACCAAATAGCAGCATATGTCATCAGGCTGCCCCTGAATGCCACCCGCCAGTGACAGGCAGCCCCGAAGTGTGTGTGTGGGGGGGGGGGGGGCTGAGAGGGTTCATCACCGAGCAGGCTGCTCTGAAAGACCCAATGCTCCTGTACCTCTCCAGACACCAGTATGTGCAGGTCAGACTAAGCCAAATTTCCAACAGTCCCGAGCACATCCGAAATGGCCCTTCTGCCTGCAGCTCCTCCACTTTGAGTCTCAACCTAATTCTCGGCATCTGATAAACTACGGTGAGAGTCTGCAGAAATGTTGAAGAATGAACCTTTGCCAGAACCGAGACAAATGCAACAACAATAAAAAACACTTAGGACCTTGTGGGCTTGCAGCCAAAGCACTGGAACTTGGTATACGCTTATCAACAAATGCAGGGTTCACCACAGCGACTCACACAGAGATGCTAGCAGAGATTTATAGCAGAGACTAGAGTGTGGCGCTCTTGCAAATGCAAAGGTTGGGAGGGGGGGGGAGTGTTGTAGAAAAGGAAAAGAAAGAAAGAAAAAGCAACAAAAATAAATAAATAAAAAGAAAGCCAAATAAATGCGATCCAAACATCTGAGCCACTACTTCAATCTCAGAAATGCTGCCATGATTTGGGTGATCCCAGTGGTCTTTGAACCATGTTGGAAAATGTCACAATAGATGTTTGAATTAAAATCCAGTAAGTTTGCCAAATGGCCAATTGTTTAAAATTGGCAGCGCTCCAGACAACTACCAGGCTGCGTACTGCCGGGGCTGAGAGAATTGCTAATCCCACAGCAAGTTCATTATCACCTTATTGATAAAGGGGTAATTTTTTTAAGCTCATGGTGTGGCTTTTGTGACTCATTAATTAAAATTTAGAGTAATTTACTAGACACAGTAGTAGCTTCTGTTACATTATTTATGTACCAAATCATTTGAGTCTTCTCCCAGGGGCTGTTTTTAATCCCCTGGTCTCTCCTCACCTGTCTGCCCTTGAAGGCAACAGAAATATTAAAAACATGTTAAACTCAAACTAGCCTTTTGGGAAATCGCAGGATTAAGACGAGGTCCAAGGAGGCACTTGATCACACTCATTCCTGGGACTGTCGAACCCGCCCCAGCCATGAAGAGGCCCGTGTGCTCCCAGCAAATGGGACGGCTTTCACAGACCTCCGCTCCCAAGTGCTGGAGCGAAGTGCGTGTCCTTTGATAGTCAGATGGGAAGAGAGTCTTTCCTTATCTTTTCCTCTTCTTTCCCACGCCATCCCCGAGTAAAGGCAGAAGGCTGGGGAAAGAGGAGGAGCTGCGTGGGGTAAAACTGGAGGCGCTCAGCTCTGAACACCCCAGCCTCCTGCTCTCCCCAGCACCCGTGGGCTGCGGGAAGCACACCTCGGCCACTTGGCGTCAGTGTGACACTGAGGCTCCCAGGCTGGGGAGGACCTGTCCGCAGGCTCTGCCCAGGCGCCAGGCGCCAGCTCCCGCTGTGGCCCCCACCCTGGCCCTCCTGTGTCCTAAGAGGCAGGAGTGCGGGTGTGTGATGTGTCCACCTGACACGCGAACTGCGAACAGACCTGCAGAACACTCTGAAACCGAGCTCCCCAAATGTTGGGAAAGGGTGTTTCTCTCCAAGCATTCCTTGTTTTGATTTAAGAGAACTTCAGTCGTGTGTTCCGTGAACTGTTTGAAGTATTTGCGATCCAAAACTGAGATTAAAAGCATAGAAGCCACCACTTTATGAGAGCTGGAACGCAATCTGATGTTCCCATCATTTAAAGTTTAAAAACTAAACATTTTCTGTCCTTGTAGTTTGAGGCATCGCTTGAATTTTTATAGCAAACATATTATTTAACATTTGAAAAAGTCATTACTTTTTCAAATTCTCATTTGCCAGGAGCTGGTCTGTCTGCTGTGTCACCTGCAGCGGGCGGGGAGCCCCGTGACCCCAGCCCCAGGAGCCGAGAGCCAGAGAGCGAAACTGCTTCTGCTTCACTTGCCTGGAAAACACGCCACCAAACGCAAATAAAGCACGGAAAGCCGTTTACTATTGCTTCTCTCATTGTTTTCTTTTCCATCTATTATTGTTCACTTACTTTATTTCCTTTTGATCCCAAAATAAAAGTAATTTTGGTGGCCCAGGGAAGAAATGTAAACACATTAAGCATAAAAGAACTGGGTTTTTGTGGGATTTTTCCTTTTCTTCTAATTCCACAGATGAAGCAGACAGATAAATTTACCAAATTATTAGATTCCTTCCACACGCACATTTGAAGAACTGAAGAAAACACATGCAGATTTTACCAAGTATGTTTACAAGGTAAAGATTTTGAAGCAGCCAAACAACTTCCCTAAAATTTACGGTTCTATATTAATGTTTTATTTTCGTTCACACACAATCACGACTGCTTTTCTAGGTCATCTTCATCCAGCTGCCTTTGCCCAAATACTCACCTTGTTTTTCTAGGCTAGTTCTACCAAGAAAAGCAACAACAAGGCTCCCTCCACGCAGGTATCATAGCCCTTGGTAGTTTACTTTGCCACACTGTAAATTCCTTCGGTTATTTTTATGCTTTCACTCCAAATATGGTTTTATTTAAAAAGAAAACCATCTTGGGGGGAAAAGCAATTATGTCTCTCACTCTTTAACCATGGTTCCTCTGGCTGAAAAGGAAGGGTATCAGAGAACACAACCAACATCTCCATCTGAAGCACCTGGATTTCTCTCCCAAGCCACCCTGTCTGCGACCAACCAGAAAGCCACTTTCTCAGGAAGCTCCTGATTGTGGAACGCTCTTGGGTACCGTCTAAGAACAGAGGCAGCACCGCGGGCCAGGTCTTTTACTACTAGGGAGTGGGAAGAACTCTGACTTAGTACCTGAACTCCCGGTCAGAGGACTCAGGCGAAGCCGACACCTCGCCCTCATCCACGGTCCTCTCCTGCCCCGCACGCAGCCTGGGCAGGGACCTGTGACACTAGGAGGGACATGTGGAATCGGGTTCAAGTCACACAACGCCCCAGCTGAGAAGAAAGTGACCTTGTGTATTTGAATTTGGGAAAACTGCTCCTGACCCTCTGCATTTACCTGGGGTTTTTTTCCCAAAAAAACTAACCAGTACCAGCAACTAGCAATAAACAGTATTCTCATCTATCCTGGTAGATTAGGAAACAGCAGCACAGACATATGTAAAATATCCCACCTGGTATACAAAAAAACAAATTTCAACTTTAAAAGAAAACCACTCTCGCATATTCACAACACATTGATTTTAAAAGTTAAATTTTAGGCAAATATTTTTACCCCAAGACATACTAAAAATTTTTAAATTAAAAAAACAAAGCAAAGCAAAATCATCATCATAAAAATAAAAAAATAAAAAGCCAACCAGTTATTTGAGTTCACATTTGGGGGGAAAAACAACTTTCTACATATTTAAATGTAGGGTTAAAGAGTAGTGAATATATATGTATATACCCCCAAATTTATAAACTCTATGATTCCATACTGCATCTTCCCCTCTGAGATCTGATTAAGAAATCAAACATTGTATTTTGAGTAGAAGGAACTAAAGTTTACCTGCCGCCCTCAGTGGTTGTTGTGCAGGACGTTCAAGCAGTGCCCTAGAGGTAGGCATGCAACCCAGAAAAACTGAAACGGGTAGCCTGGCATGCTGACAGTAGACAGAGAAGGACCCTGTGTCCACGGCACACCCTCCGATCGTGCAGCTCCCTTACCTACGGCTTGTTCGCCAGAGCCCTGATCAGGTTCTTTACCAGGCCGATAATGTTGACTCAGAAGACAGAAGACTTTCAGTACATGCAAACCGAGTATTGCAAAAGCTAATCTTCCACCCGTGTGTTAGTAGCTCACAGTTAGTCTCCAGCAGCCCTGCTCTCCGGCTGCAAACATCTCATTAGACTAATGCATTCAGCACAGGCAGAAAACTCGCTTTACCATAGCTACAGCAATGAATTTCCATTACGATGACAGCTTCAACCACATCATGTCCGGAAAACCAGCCAACCACTGGCTTTTAAAGAACACACACATTTTACATGCAGAAAATGAGGCGTGCGAGTGTGCGTGTGCGTGTGTGTGTGTGTGTGTGTGTTTCATGTTTCCTTCCTCTTAGAAGCCCAACTAAGAGAAATGTGCAGTGTAGCTTTTTGCCGACATGAGCTGCAAGGTAATGACACTTCTGCTTCCTTGGTAGTTACGTCCTTGTAATAAACTGAATTATGTCACAATTGTCAGAAGGGGTGTTTCCAACATTTCGGTTTTCATTAGCCCTCCTCTGTTGCCATAGAAACCAGACTGTCACATCATCTCTTTGTCCCAGTCCTGCAGCAGTGTGGGCCAGCACCGGGCTTCCAAGATACCGGTGAGCCGAAGGAATAAATGTTTGACTTTGGACAAATAAAACAAAAAGAAATGCTCTAATGTCATCATCATTCAGGAGAGACTGTGTGCTGCAGAGGAGTGTGCCCACACAGGTGGACACACCGTGGTCATGCATAGTAACTCTGCAGCTGCACTGTCGGTCCATTCTCACAACTCCTGGACTTGGGCTCCAGATGTGTGAGTGTGAAGTGTTCCCGAACCCATGAACACGGTCGGAGCCTCCGCGGGGTGAGATGGTCCGCACACAGAGAAAGGGCTACCCTTCATCCTCCATGCTCTATTGTGTTCTCTGCGGCAAACCAACATATCCTGGAAAGGGGACTTCTCCTTTTTTTATACAGTGGATCAAGGCCCCCATTGCCCATTTCATTTGCCCCATTCTGGAGTATTATTCCCAAGTATTTCCTACAAGAAGAAACATTTATTTAACAAATATGTGGCCACCCACAGGCTTACTCATGGGGCTGAGCAATAAGCAAAGTTAGCCAGGAGCTAGGGCTAATGAAGGTTCGGGCCACAACTTGGACAGTTACTGAGAGTGAAAAAAATAAAATTACAACTTGGCATTTTTCTGAATATATAGGCAGCATCACATTAGAAGGAATAATAAATCTCTCTGCTCAAATTATGACCATAGGAAAACATTAAATTTTTTTGAAGTCAAAGCATTGTATTTCTTGAGCAAGAAGTAATTTCACTATTTAAGTCATTTAATCATCTAATTGTATTGTTTTGTTTTGTGTGGGAAAAGGCAAGTTTGGTAGTTTTTCACTCTGGTCATTGAATATAAGTTGATTTCATTAAAGGAGGAGGAGAGAAAGGAGGGAGAGGACGAGGAGAATAAGAGAAAACAGGACCTAATGGATGGTTTGCATCTGGCCAGCATCTCTGTCTCAGCCACAGTGGGTGGGCGTGTGTAGGTCAGTGGCCTCGAACACAGTCCCACGCTCCACTCCACAGAGCACCTGAGATGTTCAATGAGTCTACACTTTAAAATGTTTCTTTAGATTAAAAAAATAAATCTTCCTTAAATAATCAACAAATTTCCCAAATCCTATAACAGAGGAAGAAGGCCTGACAGGATCTGTGAAAGAAAGGAGGTTTGGCTTTGCTCCCCAGCTTTTCGAGAATCTGTGGTCCTGCTTTTCAGTGTCCACACCTCCCACCTCCTCCCAGATGCCCTGCTGTGGCCTGTCCTTAAGTGGGTGTGGCTGGGAGGCAGGCTTTGGCCTCTCCAGGCAACCACTAAATGAGGCTTAAAATGGAAATTAAGTAAAGCTGGTTTGCTTAAAGAAATAGATGATAAATAGGTAGATTGATAGATGAATGATGATAAAGATAGATAGATAGATAGATAATTGATAGATAGATAGATAGATAATCATACTGGGATTTCTTTCCTTGTGCAACCAGGACTATAGGCCTTAAGAAATTAAATCCATGTTTTTGAAAATGCTAGAAGTTTTTAATTCCAAGAATAATTTTAAGTTAAACATGTGAGAGAAAAGAACTTTGGTGGGATTGCTGTATCCAGGCTAGGGGGCCTGTTAAGAAGGAAGGGGCCCTCTGAGCTAAGGTATCTGTCTCTAAGTCTTGTACATCCCTGGGCTAGGATCAGGATGCTTCGGTTGTGCCACGCTGTTAATTTTCTTTGGCCCTATGGTTACATTTCTGTCTCAGACCACAGGCAGCACACTCTCCTCTTTCCACTCAAATGCCGCTGGGTTGATTAGCAAAAGGCGGCCAGTGGCAGCAAGCAAGTTAATTTGGGGGCATCCCAAATGCAAACCTACTTAGAGGCACCTCCCCTGGAAGAGTGCTCCTGCAGGCAGCTGCTGGTAATGAGCTGTGGCCCCCACCCAAGCAGCAGCACTGTGTCCTGGAGAGAGGAGTCAGTGCTATGGCAAAAAAAACACTTGTTATCATAATCCTAGCTAACATTTACTGGGGAAATACGATTCACACATCCTATTCATATGTTATCTCATTTACAACAACCCTATAATGTAAGTATTATAAGTACCAGCCCCATTTTACAGATAAGGAAACTGAGACTCAGGGATATTAAAAAAGTTGCCGACGGTCACACAGCTCAGAAGTGTTGGATACAGGATTGACCCAGGCAGTCTGTCCCCAAAGACACAGTAACTAATCATATGGCCACATGGTCCCCTGGCACTGCCCCTTGTTCTAGCTCTGCCATTAACCCAATGACATTGGTCAAATCACTGTTCTTCTATAATAGGGGGATGTGGGTAGGGGACTAGATAATCTTTGTGGTCCCTTATGGTTCTGACATTCTACAGTTTGATGAATTGTTTTACCTGCTAGAACAGACCAATGCTTTGCGTTGGAGGAGAACCCAGCTGTAGTTGTGGCTGTGGCCATGACCAAGAACAGGCAAAACACCCTCTCTGCCAATAGACCAAAACCTGGCAAACTACTGCTTTGGACGGTCAAGTTGGGGAAGACTGGGGGGAGAGAGTGTGGAGAGAGAACAGGGAAGTTTTATTTTATTTTATTTTATTTTTTGGTACGTGCCCCTACCGGGAACCGAACCCGGAACTCTCTGGTCCATAGGCCGATGCCCCAACTGCTGAGCCAAACAAGCCAAGGCAGAACAGGGAACTTTTAAAGGCCAGGATTTCGTTCCTGAAGCAGTAAAGGAGAACGGTCTCCCACACTCATGCAGTCCCCTGACTTTGCTTCTATATCATTCAACACTGACTTTTCCTTAAGCGTTCCTGAAAGTTTGAGGAGTTTCAGGGCTCGGTGTGAGGCTTAGGATCACCATTTTACCAAAGGGAAACCTTACTAGTCGGACAAGCGGGCAGAGCAGAACCAGTGGATGGCAGAGCCCGGGGCTCCCCGCCTGCCTTCTTCCCCTCAAAGCCCCACCTTCCATGAGGCCAGAGCTTAGTTTACGCAAACAGTGATCTTTCTAAACTAACACCGAGACTGTTCTTTGTAGTGAGGAAACAACCTCGAAGTCCGATAAAAAGAGATTACTTAAGTAAATGTATCAAGTGTCCATACCATGCAATGTAAACTAGAAACATAGAAAACTATGGAGTGACCGGAAAGCATGTTCTCAATGTACATGTACTAAAAAATTGCAGGTTAGACTCTTAGTTTGAAAAAATAGAATGATTTGCAAAATACTAATGGCATGATCCCTTGGTGATAGGATTATGAGTAATTTTTATCTTCTTAATCTTCTTTATATTTTCTGCAAAAGAAGACCTACTTTTTATGATAGATAATACAAAGTCATATGAATGAAATGATTGACTAGTCACAGAAATTTTCCTTAGAACATCTGCACACGTATTTGCTTATAATTCTCATAAATCTTAAGTCTTAAATGTATTTGCCATCAATGAAATAAAACCTTTGCCCCGTGGCTACATTCAGCCACGGCCTTTGCGGATGCTTCAGGCTTAAAGACTGTCCCCAGCTCAGTCAAGCTACCCTGCGGACCCCACTCTGGGCGTCCCTATACCCAGTATCTGGGAGCCCTGCAGGGCGCTCGGCAGAGCCAGTGCAGTCAGGGCAGACTCCCTGTCCTTTCCCACCCAAGAGCTCCCACTGTCTTTGGGGTCCTCTCAGAGCTGTAATAGTCCTGTTTCAGTAAAGCCATGTGCTAAAGACACAGATTGTTGGGGGAGGGGGAAGTGATCAAATGAAGTGGAGATCACTCCATCCAGGGAAAGGACGACTCTTTCCCGTTCTCCTGGGGTGAAGCCTGGGCTCCTCTCAGGCGGGGCCTCCTCTCTGTGTGGCTCTGGGCCTGTGGCCCCGGCTGATACTCAGGGATCGACTTGGTGAAAATCTCTCTCTCAAGATCTGGCAGTTTGGGTGATAGCAGCCCAGAGACCCTCATCCCAGGGGCAGTGTCTGGTGACAGGGTTGGTACGGAAAGGGCAGGTGCTGACAGCCAGGACAGCAGGGACTTTTCTTTGTTCTCTTGGCTGTAAACTCCAAGATGGCAGAGAACCAGCCTGGCTCCACTGTATCCCCAACACGTACCTCAGTGTCTGCTCTGTAGTAGGAAATCAACAAATAATTACTGCTGAATGAATAAGAGAAACTAGGGGTTAAAGATGGTGACCTAATCAATATTAGTATAGGTTTTTAGGCTTGATTCCTTCTCGTCCTCAAAAAAAGTAATTGACTTTGGATGTTTGTCATCAGGGAAAAAAAACCTTAATTTGTGAAAATTGGAAAGATGCCTTCTATTTCCTATGTCTCTCCTCTGTTGGGTTCCAAAAATGTTACCTCAGGATAACTTTTGCTTTGAGCTATGTTTGTGTGAAACTAATAAACTTTTATTCAAAATTCATACAGGTGATCTCCAAGCACTTTTGGCTATTAGCTATGTTTCCCTTTTTCTCCTAAAATATTTTTCCCAAGTTAAATATAAGAGGTCAATATTGGAGCCTGGCTGGTGTGGCTCAGTGGTTGAGCATCAACCCATGCACCAGGAGATCACCAGTTCGATTCCTGGTCAGGGTACATGCCCAGGTTGTGGCACGATCCCCTTTGGAGGACATGCAGGAGGTGGCCAATCAGTGTGCTCTCT